GCCTCAGCCTCAGCCTCAGCCTGCTTCAGCCTCAGCCTCAGTCTGCCGTCGGCCTCGGCCTCAGCCCCAGCCTGCCTCAGCCTCAGCCTGCATCAGCCTCAGCCTCAGCCTCAGCCTGCCTCAGCCTCACCTGCCTCAGCCTCAGCCTCAGCCTCAGCTGCCGCCTCAGCCCCAGCCTGCTTCAGCCTCAGCTCAGTATGCCCGCAGCCTCGGCCTCAGCCTCAGCCTGCCTCAGCCTGAGCCTGCCTCAGCCTCAGCCTCAGCCTCAGCCTCAGCCTCAGCCTCGCCTCAGCCTCAGCCTCAGCCTGCCTCAGCCTCAGCTTCAGCCTGCGCAGCCTCAGCCTTAGTCTGCCTTCAGCCTCGGACTCAGCCTCAGCCTGCCGCAGCCTCAGCCTGCATCAACCTCAGCCTCAGCCTCAGCCTGCCTCAGCATCAGCCTGCCTCAGCCTCAGCCTCAGCCTGCCTCAGCCTCAGCCTCAGCCTGCTTCAGCCTCAGCTTCCGCCTGCCTTTAGCCTCGGCCTCAGCTTCCGCCTGCCTCAGCCTCAGCCTGCGTCAGCCTCAGCCTCAGCCTCAGCCTGAGTCAGCATCAGCCGGCCTCAGCCTCAGCTTCAGCCTGCCTCAGCCTCAGCCTCAGCCTGCTTCAGCCTCAGCCTCAGTCTGCCTTCAGCCTCGGCCTCAGCCTCAGGCTGCCTCAGCCTCAGCCTGCATCAGCTTCATCTCAGCCTCAGCCTCAGCCTCAGCCTGCCTCAGCACTCAGCCTGCCTCAGCTTCAGCCTCAGCCTGCCTCTGCCTCAACCTCAGCCTGCTTCAAGCCTCAGCCTCAATCTGCCTTCAGCTTCGGCCTCAGCCTCAGCCTGCCTCAGCCTCAGCCTGCATCAGCCTCAGCCTCAGCCTGAGTCTGCCTCAGCCTCAGCCTCAGCCTCAGCCTCAGCCTCAGCCTGCCTCAGCTTCAGCCTCAGCCTGCTTCAGCCTGACCCTCAGTCTGCCTTCAGCCTCGGCCTCAGCCTCAGCCTGCCTCAGCCTCAGCCTGCATCAGCCTCAGCCTCAGCCTCAGCCTGCCTCAGCATCAGCCTGCCTCAGCCTCAGCCTGCCTCAGCCTCAGCCTCAGCCTCAGCCTCAGCCTCAGCCTCAGCCTGCTTCAGCCTCAGCCTCAGTCTGCCTTCAGCCTCGGCCTCAGCCTCAGCCTGCCTCAGCCTCAGCCTGCATCAGCCTCAGCCTCAGCCTCAGCCTCAGCCTGCCTCAGCCTCAGCCTGTCTCAGCTTCAGCCTCAGCCTGCTTCAGCCTCACTCTCAGTCTGCCTTCAGCCTCTTCCTCAGTCTGCCTTCAGCCTCGGCCTCAGCCTTAGCCTGCCTCAGCCTCAGCATCAGCCTGCATCAGCATTCAAAATGTGGCCGGGGAGTGGAGTTCTGGGAACTCGAAGAACACGAAGTGGCCTACAGTTGGCTCCGGGCCTGCAAAATCATGCCCAGGAATGGAGTTCTTTGAACTCGAAGACCACGAAGTGGCCTACAGTTGGCTCCGGGCATTCAAAATGTGGCCCGGGAATGACTCTGGGAACTCGAAGAGCACGAAGTGGCCTACAGTTGGCTCCGGGCATTCAAAATGTGGCCTGGGAATGGAGTTCTGGGAATTCGAAGAGCACGAAGGCTTACAGTTGGCTCCGGGCATTCAGAATGTGGCCCGGGAGTGGAGTTCTCGGACCTCGAAGACCACGAAGTGTGTAACTGTTTGCTTAAAACGATGTCCGCGGATCCCTGTCCGGATGCCGCCCAGACCCCTCTGGGGAGTCATGATGCATTCTTTTGACCCTATTAGAAACCTAACAGTCTTCGCTGTTAGGTAAAAAAGGCCCCCAACAGAGCCCCAGAGGCCCCCCAGAGGCCCCCTCGGCCAACCGGGGGGCAGCAACATGTGTCCCAGTTATGCCGTAAGCACAGCCGGTTCATTCCTCTCGCCCGCAGATGCAGCTTCGCCTCGCCCTCGCTGCCTCCCTCCTGCTTCCTGCTTCCTATCTGTCTCCTACCTTCCTCCCCCAGCGGTGGTAGCTGCGCAATTGGTGCCGCCAACTGCGCAACTGTCGCCACTTTCATACTCTCGTGAGCTCCCGGGAGGTCCAGCGCAGCGACGCGCGGCCAGATGAGATCTCGCCGTCCCTGGTTGCTGCGAAGTGTGAAGCCGTACGTAGCCGCTTCCGTGAGCCCCTTGTACGGGGCCCAAGCATGTACACCACCACCACCTCCCTCACCCCCTCCGTCTCTCAGGAAAGAGGAGAGGAAGAAGAGGGTAGAGGAGGGAGGAGGAATCGACGTGGTGGTGGTGTATATTCTTGGGACCCGCACCTTGGGGAGGCCAAGCGAATCGACGATCGAATTCCCTGGCTGCCGCTAACTGCCGTCGTTGCCTTGGTGAGCTCACGGTGGGGGCCCAGCGGAGCGACGTCCCTCGGGCATATCCAGACGAGGCTTCGCCTTACGGGGGCGTGCCAGCTGGTGTACCTGTCGCTGCTCTCGTGAGCTCCTGGGAGGTACATCGGAGTGGGGCCCTCCCCTTCTCTCTTCTTTCCCTTCCCCTTCTTGTGATATGTGTGGCAGGGCTAGGTCGTCGTCGTTGTCGTCGTCGTCGTCGTCTTCGTGCGACGACGACGATGGCGATGACCTCGTTCCTCGTCGTGCATCCTGCGCACGACTTGCCCGGACAAATCGTGTATTGAATCGCTTCGCTCATTCCGCTGGCCCATATTGCGCGCCGTTGTCGATTGGAAGAGTGGTCTTTCGCGGTGCGGAGTTGCAGGGGCGGCGGCTGTTTTTACCAGGCTTTGCGTTCGGCATGTGAGGTTTCTTGGTTGCCGCTGGGGGAGTCTTGAACGCGTCGCGGGCCGTCTGGAAGCGTTTTGCCAATGGGGATTTTTTGGGGAGGCCTCTTGGTGGCCTCTTAGGGAATTAACGCGTCGGGTCGTTGGCACTTGCTTGCGTGATCGGGGGGCATTTCGGGGGCCTCCTGGGGCCGCTTGGGGGCCTCTTGGGGGTCTCCTGAGGGCCTGTTGGGGACCTCTTGGGGCCTCTTGGGGGCCTCTTGGTGGCTCCTGGGGGCTTAGGGCCGAAGGCTCGAAATGTTGTTTCGTGTTCCCCCCCTGGGACCTCTCTTGGGGCGTTCCGCCTTGGATGCCTCTTGGGCCCTCTTGGAGCCCTCTTGGGCCGTCTTGGGGCCCTCTTGGGGGCCTCTTGGGCCCTCTTGGGTCGGTCTTGGGGGCCTCTTGGGCCGTCTTGGGGTGTCGGGAAGCCGAAAAGGTGGAAACGCCCAAACCTTTCCAAAACCTGAGGAAAAACAATGATTTTCGGCTCTTGGGGCCCGCTTGAGAGTGCTCTTGGAGGCCTCTTGGGCCGTCTGGGGGCCATCTTGGGCGTCTTGGAGCGATCTTGTGGCAGCTCGAAGTACCCTTGTATCGTCTTGAGGCCGTCTTGGACGCCTCTTGGGCCGTCTGGGGGGCCTCTGGCATCTCTGATGGGCACTTGCCGGGGCCTTGCCGGGGACTTGCCGGGACCTTGGCGGGGTACTTGTCGCGTTGGGGCCCCCAGGGGCCGCCTCGCGCGCGCGAACTTCTGATATTGTGAATTTGTTACCGGAGATCTTAGCACGCCTCTGGCCTGTTGGGCTGGCGAATCATCCTCCTGGGACCCCGAATTTTATTAACCAGAGGGTGTTATTATCAGGGGCAGTTGGTTATTCGAACGACGATCCTCGCTTCCATGTGGGCTGCCAGCCGCGCAATTCGTTTCCACCTCGGTCTGCGTCGTCCTTCCGTCTGTCCCCCCCCTCCATGTCATATATTCTTTGGTGCCGCCTCAGATCAAAGCAGTCCTGTGGGGCATGCAGCGCGTACGCTTATGCGGCTTTCACAATGGATCGCGTTCTTTGTCGTATCACTGAACTGGGTGCTTGTTTTGTTGATCTGTGTTTTTCTCCTACGATTTCAACTTTGGGGCCTCCTGGGGCGTTTTCGTTGCCGCGGCTTCTTTCGAGATTCTGTCCCGAACGCACCCCAGGAGAGGTCGGGGGACAGTGTGTTGAAGCAGGATCCCTCACATCTGGGAATCGCAGAAACAATATGTCGAGACGTCCTCGACTACACGTAAGAGTGTCCCTTCGCCGGAGTGGACTTCGGTGCTGGCCTACTGGGGCCCCCCGATGGCTGAATGCGATGCGACAGCAGCGGCTTGTGCGTTTTGGGTCACAGCAAAGGCTTGTGCACTTGGATCTGTTCCCGCCGCTCTCCCCGAAAGTGCGCGCACCGAAGCTCGCTCTTGCCCAGGAGCGCTCGAGCGAGTGGTCGACGTCTTGACAAACATCAGCACGGAGTACTCCCGGTGGCACTCTTGCCCCTGCTCCCTTGGCCCATCCCAGGCCAGGCCTCTGCTCGAAGGGCTCCAACCTTGGGCGTTCTGAGGGGCCTCCGCACCGCCGCCGTGCATCCGTGCCACGCGCACCGGCCGCACCCATCTCAGCCAAGACGCCGGATGTCCCCCCCGCGCGCCCAGGCGGCGGCCGGGGGCGCCCCTAAAACAGGGCTAGGATCGGGATAAATCGCTCCAGAGCGTTCCGGAGCGCTCTCAGAGCGTTCCGGAACGCTCTGGAGCGGCCGCGGCGCCCAATACATCCTCCAAACCCGCCGATTCTCAGAGATTTCGAGTTATCCCGATCCGATTTTGTCCCGATCCTCGTGTCGTTTTAGCCCCGCCGGATGGCCGCGGCCGTCGACCCCGACCTCCGGGCGCACGTGCGCGCGTGCTCGGCTGGCCGCCTGGACTCGGGCCGGACGAAAGGGGAGGATTGGGAAAGGGGGGGTCACAAAATTTGCTGCATGCAGCTGGTTTCAGCCCCACCGAGGGGCCTATTCCTCGATACATAGCCGCCCCCGGCGCTGGGAGGCGCCAGGAAAATCAGCTACGTGAGCTGATTCTCAAACCCCCCCTTTGCTATCCCCCCCTTTCGCCCGACCCGATGGACGTCGGCGTCGATGCCCGCGTGGGCCGCCACCTCGTCGCCGCCCGGGACCTGGCGGCGGGCGTGCCGGCGCTGCGGGAGCGGGCCCTGCTCGCGGGCAGCGACGAGGCCCGGGCGCTGGCGGCGGTCGCGCGGCCCGAGGGCTTGGAGGAGAGATGCGGGAGGCGAAAGTCGGGCGTGCCCCTCTGCAGGAGAAATATAGGGGGCCACATGCGAGCCCTACCCCTACCCCCCACGATTTCTGAGGCGGAGGGTGGGGTTCACTTCGCTCGGGAGCTCCCGAACGAAGTGAACCCCACTGAACCCCACTCTCCCCCTCAGAAATCGTGGGGGGTAGGGGTAGGGTTCGCATGTGGCCCCCTAAAATAGGCACGAGGAGTACAAGAACGGTCCGGGGGCGATTGTTCGTGTGTCTTCTCCCTGCCATCCTGTGGTGTCGGGTCCTCGTTTTGAAGAGGCAGGGCCCCGCGTTCCCTCGCCTTCCCCCTCCCCCTCCTCCCTCTTCCCATCCTCTGCCTCTGCCCTCCGCATGTCAATCATTTCGGCACACCCCTCACGCGTTTCGTGGCCCCATAGGGAGCTCCACCGAGGGCCCCAGTGGTGCCGTTCGCATGCGTCCCCGCACCAATTTCGGCACACCCTTCGCACGTTTCGTGCCCTCATCGGGAGCTCCACCGAAGGCCGCAGCGGTGCCGTTCGCATGCGCCCCGGCTACCCATTTCGGCACACCCCTCACACGTTTCGTGACCCCATATGGCACTCCACCCAGGGCCCCATCGGCGACGTTCGCATGCTTCCCCGCCACCCACTTCGGTACATCCCTCACACGTGTCGTGGCCCCACGGGGAGTTCCACCGACGATGATATCCACAACTGCGGTACTCACAACTGCACATGGTTGGGTCCTTCGCGCCAGGCTCAATTTCCAAGTCAACTTTTTTTTTTTTTTGATTTTCAAGTTTTTTTTGTCTGCCAACATCCGCCCGCAGAGGAGGACATGCCCGACCCAAGAGGAGATGCTGGAGGCCTGGGAGCGGCCCGAGGCTGGAGGGCCGAGCCCCCTGGCGCACGTGGACCTCTTCGCCGCCTTTGCGCTCGCGCGCGCGGCCGCGACGGCGGCGCCGCCGGCTCCTCCAGATGGCGAGGGCGTGCGCGGCGGCGCCGGCGGAGCCGGTGGCGGCGAGGCCTCGGCCTCGGCAGGGGAGCGGCTGGAGGAGAGGCTGCGGCGCTGGTACTGCGGGCCCCAATGCTGTACACCACCAGCACCTCCATATGCCCCTCTCCCGCCTCCACCCTCGTCTTCCTCTCCTCTCTCCCGGGAGGGGGAGGGGACGAGGGAGGTGGTGGTGGTGTACATCTTTGGGCCCCACAGGTTCTGCGTGCCGAGCGAGGCGGCGGTGGACCGCGCGGCGCAGCGGGAGAAGCTGGAGGCCGTGCATGGCTCCTGGAGGCCCGGCTTCCAGCGCGCGTGCAGCCTGGAGGACCTGCGGCGGCTGGACGACGTGCTGAGCAGGAACGCGGAGGAGTTCACGGGCGCGGTGGCCGTCTTCGGCTGCGGGCGCGGGGAGCGGGCTCCGTGGCTGGCGCGGCGGCGATTCCAGGGCCTGTTCCCCTGCAAGGACCTGATCCAGCACTCCTGCGCGCCGAACTGCGCCAGCGTGGCGGGCCCTGTGTGGGAGGGCTGCGAGAGGCTCGTGCTCGAGGTGGTGCCCCTGCGGACCATTCGAGCCGGCGAGCGGCTGACGTGGTGCTACCTGCCCTACTGGAAGGCGCTCTGGCCCGCGGAGCTCCGGCGCAGCGCGCTGCGAGACGGGTGGGATTTCGTTTGTGGCTGCGAGCGCTGCGATGGAGCCACGCGCGAGGCGGCCATGGCTTTTCGGTGCCCCGCGTGCGGCTCCAGCGAGCTGTGCCCCCCGCGCCCCGCAGCCTTGAAGGCCCTCCCCACGCTGCGCCCAGCACAGACCGGCTGCGCGGGCTGCGCGGGCGTGGAGCACGCCGCTGCCGCGGCGGAGGTGCCAGAGCTCCAGTGCCCTTGCGGGCTGCGGCTCGGCGAGGGCGGCGCCAGCACCCCTGGCGGGCTGAAGGAGCGCCTGGCCCAGGAGTGCGCGGCCTTGGCGCTGCCCTGGCGCGGCGCGCTCGGGCGGGACCCGGGCGAGGCGACCGCCGAGGAGGAGAGCTTGCTGGGCGCCTCCCACTGGCTGATCGCGGATCACGCCTCGCATCTCCTGGAGAACGCCCCCGCCGTGCTGGAGGCGCTGGGGCTCTCCGCCCCCGGAGCCGACCCGCGTGCCGTGGAGGGCTTCCTGCAGCGCCTCGCGGGGGCCGTCGACACCGTCCTCGACGCGGCGCGGCGCTGCCTCGGGCCGGGGCCGCTGCAGGCGCCCGGGCCGGAGCCGCTGCTGCTGCGGGCGCTGTGCACGGGCTCGGCCGCGGACTTCGAGGCGTGCCGGCGGGCACACGGCCACCTGGCGCGCTGCGGCACCGCCGGCGCGGCGGCCGCAGCGGCCGCCGCCCGGCTCTGCGCCTCGCCCGCCGGCTTCGTGGCCGAGGGCCTGGGCCTCCAGCCTGCAGCGGCGGGGCGGTTGCAGAGCCTGGCGGGGCGCGCGGCGACCCCCGCGGGAGGCGTGGACGCGCGCCTCCTCTGATGGGCTTGTTTTCCACCACCACCACCATAAGTTGGAGGGGGAGGGGGTCCTCCTCCTCCTCCTCCTCCTCCTCCTCCTCCTCCTCCTCCTCCTCCTCCTCCTCCTGTGAGTTATACGTGAATGATCTATGCGCACTCGTAATTAGTTTTTCGGCTCAGACGCATGAGGCCAGAGGTTGGCATCGGTCTCTTCGCAGTCGGACTTGCGAGGGAGCTCGCTTCGCTAGCTTCACTTTCCGCACGACACCAGTGCCCAGACTGTTTCTGTGATTGCCCTCGGCCTTCGGAGTGTCCGAAGGCTCCTGACTGTGTGTGTCCGCCGCCGTTGGAACGTCCTCCCGTGTGTGAGGTGCCGCCTGATTTCTTCAACAGGACGGGTTTCGTTGCACCCACGGACGACACCGTCTCCCTTGCCAACATCGGCCACTTGGGAGTGCTTCTCGGAGCAGCGGTCGGAGGTCTGCTCACTCGGTTTTGTTGTCCTCGTCGTGTTGCTGCCCCTCGTCGAGCAGGGTACGGTCGCATTGAACAGTGATGGCGGGGGCCGTGGAGGCTCTGCCAGGTGGCTATGCCATCTACTGGTACGAAGGGGACGATTATGGTCATGAACGGATTTTGTTGAGGGAAGTTAAGTCACTGGATGACAGGCGTATCTGGGTCGGGGCCTCGCCTGACTTCGATGTCTATGCGGAGGAGTGGGACACCACGGGAGATCGCGGGCCCATCAGAGTGGAGCTGATGAAGGGTCGCACTGTGCCAAGGAGTTTCCCTAGGCCCATCTATCGCTTCGATCAGAAGGTTCCCTGGGGCAAGTTCACGGAGCTTAGGGCCGAGGCGTCGCAGGTCATCGTCGACGGAGGGCTCGAGGAGATCGCTCACGCGAGAGTGCAGGATGACACGTTCGCGATCAGGAACTTCCGTCGGCCCCTCCTTGGATCACGAGGACCTGCTCCTCCTCTGCCGCCGCATGCAGATGGGCAGGCTGACCCTGCTGATGCTCTTGGGAGTGACGGGGTCTGGGTCGCGTCGGAGCCCGTCTTCGACGGGGGCCAGGAGGTTGCGAGGATCGGCACTCAGGTCGCCAAGGAGTCCGTGGCGAGCAGTCTGGGGAACCGCGGGTTCGCCAAGTTTGGCTCGGTCGTCGCGGCGCTCGAGCGGATCAAGGTGGAGGAGCTCGACGGTTACTTCGCGGGCCGCAAGAACCTGCTCCTGGTGGGCCTGGGAGGCACTCACACGCCCGAGGAGCGAGAGGGAGCCCTTGGCTCGCCCACAGGCCTCCAGGCCCTTCGTGGGGCTCTTGCAGGCCCACAGCTCCCTGGAACGGGTGAGGAACCTGACGAGAAGACGGACGAGGACGTTCGCGCGCTGTCGGTGAAGTTCAACGCCTTCAACCGCAGGGAGCGCGTCTGGGTGGACTCGGTCAAGGAGATGGTCGAGGACGCCTTCTCGGACTGGCCTTTGGATGGTCCTCGCGCGTTCTTGTGGTTGATGATGTCTTTTGCTCAGCTCGCGATGGTGCCCACGTTCTGGCTGGAGCGCCACCTCCAGACGGCGGGTTGGAGCGAGAACGATCGCTCTATTCATGAGATGCGGATGATGGCGGAGGTTTTCGAGCTGGCTATCTCTTACGATCAGCTTAATGTGGCTTCGCTCGCGGCCTTCGAGAGGTTGGGGCGGAGATGGCAAGCTATACTTGAGGCTCATGGTAAGAGCCCCATGAACCCGAACTACGAGATTGCTGATAAGTTCTCGGGCTACAATCGCCGTGCTCAGCTGGTGGCGCCGGCGCTTCGCACCTACGTGGCCAAGGAGGTGCGAGAGGAGGCGGAGATCGACAGGCAGACTAGCAAGGCCAAGGCTCTGAGGGACGAGGCCAAGGTCGCCCTCAAGCGCGGGAAGTCCGCTGGGAAGGGCAAGGACAAGGAGGATAGCAAGGATGAGTGAGGCCTCCTTCCTTGCCAGCAAGACCGTTGATAGTGCGCGCCGCAGTCGCCGCGCGGCATGCACGCTGACAGGCGAGAGTGATGCGCAGGAGGCACGACAGGTGCCGCTGTTTCCGCTCGAGTTTTGTGACCACTCAGCTCCTCCGTCGACGCGTCTCTCGAGAAGGTGCAGACGGAGAGCGAACCTCAGGAGCCATCAGTCACGGGAGTTCGGGGAGGTTTTGACGGGCCTCAATTGGCTATATTCCCGAGCTGCGAGCCCTCTCGTTCGCCGAGAAGTGGTGGGCGAGATTCATGATTTTGTCGCGGGACGAGTTGCCCAACAGCCGCCTGTGCCGCCTTTTTTGGATAAGGAGGGAGCCGTGCGCGAGCTCCTCCAGAGCAAGTGTGGTTATGACCACACTGCTTCCACGGTCGTCGAGTTCGATCGAGCCCTCGTCTCTCTGCCCGAAGGAGTCCAGGACAGGGGGTTACTTCAGGACTTGGTTTCTCAGGGGGACAGGGAGGCGGTGGTGAACTTTAGGGGGAGCATGATGAGAGATGTGAAGGAAGTGATGCAAATGAGAGACTACGGCGAGTCTATTAACCCGTATTTTGACCAGAAGCTTCGCACTCGACGGCACGAGTACGTACGCTTTCTGAAGATGTTGCACAGGCGTGGTCTCATCAGGTGGTCGACTACGCCCAAAGAGATTGCGACCCCGTTCTTTGTCAGAAAAAAGGATGGAAGACAGCGACTTATCATCGATGCAAGACGTACTAAGCAGCTTTTCCGAGATCCTCCTAGTACTCTACTGGCCACGCCCGAGAGTTTCGCTCGCCTGGAAGTTGAGGGAGGTGTTGAGCTTTTTGAGGCGTCTCTTGACGTGGACAATTGCTTTCACAGAATCGGTATAGACAGCGAATTGGGCGATTATTTCTGCTTACCCCCCGTCCGCGCACGAGAGCTAGGTCTGGCACATGTTCGGGGGCGGGAGGTTCCTGGAGACGGGCTTGTGTGGGCCGCCATGGCTGTGCTCCCCATGGGCTTCTCTTGGTCGGTCTTCTGGGCCCAGCGTGTCAATATTCGCCTGGTTCGGGAGGCTTCAGGAATGGGAGGCTCTGTGGCGGTGGAGGACAGGGGGGGCGGGCTCATCATAAGTAAGGGCTCCGCGCCCGTCTTTTACGTGTATGTGGACAACGTGGGGGTCTTGGGGGCGGACAAGATTGAGGTCCAGAAGTCGCTTGATAACGTCAAAAGCGTCCTTAACTCCAACAAAATGCAGTGTCGCGAAGTCCAGGAGGTAGGCCAAGTTCGGGACGCTCTTGGGATCGAGTTCAACGGCGAACTAAAGTGTTTCAGGCCCGCTGGGAAGCGATGCTGGAAGATTCGTTGGCCCCTGGGGGCTTTCTTGAAGGCGCCCAAGGTAACGGGAAAAGCACTCGAGGTTCTTCTGGGCCACTGCACCTACCTCGCTATGCTCCAGCGCCCTCTTCTCTCCTGCTTCGCCTCGGTCTACAAGTTCGCTCGGCGGCGCCGTCACTCGTGGGCTCCATTGTGGCCAACAGCACGTGAGGAGCTCGAGGCTTTCTTCTGCCTCATGCCTCTTATTCGCTCAGACTGGTCCCGCGGTTGGCTTGGAGAAGTGCTGACGTATGACTCCTGCCCTGAGGGCGCTGGAGCTTTTGTTGCTATTAGGTCTCCTGCCTGGGCGGCCGCTCAAGGGGAGAGTCCAGGAGAGAGCCAGATTTGTTCGTCGGGATGCTGCGCAGGCTCGCGGGCATGCGCTTTCCCGCCTCGACCCTGATGACCCCCTGGTGTTTGTGACGCCGCCGCCGTCGTTTGAGGACGTGTCGGAGCTTTGGGAGCAAGATTTGTTGTTTCCTGAGGCTCCGCTCGAGGGGCTTGTGGGAAAGGACTGGGAAGTGCTATTCTGCCATTCTTGGAGAAGAAAGATGACTGTGCATGAGGGGGGAGCCAGAGCTGGAGTCCTTGGGATCGCAAATGTGGTTCTGGAACCTGGGGTACATAGCTGTCGTCTGCTGGCCCTTGGGGACAATCTCGGTGTCACGCTCAGCTTTGCAAGATCCAGGGCCCGTGCCTTTCCTCTGCTGATGCAGGTACGACGGGCGGCGGCGCTGGCGCTGCCGCGAAACCTCTCAGTGGGGTTCAGGTGGATCCCGAGTGAGTTCAACAGCTCCGACAAACCTTCCAGGGGCCCCGGGCCTCAGCGGGGGAACACGGTCGAGTTGAGCGTCACTCCTGATATACGCCGTCTCGCTCGAGAACGGCAAAGCTCTGTAGCCGTTTTGGCCAAGCATGAAGACCCACCATGCTCTGCTTTTTTACTCGATTGGGCTCTACATGTCCTTGGTGAGGAAGGCCAAGAGAGCAGCTCCGACGGAGGAGAGGGAAGTTCGTGTGCTTCTTCGTCGCACGGACCCGCTGCCTCTAGAGAAGAGGTGGCAGGCTACTTTACAGCAGCGACGCGATCGCCTCCCCTTGCCCGTGCTGCTGGAGGAAGCGGAGAGGGATGCCAACCGTCTGGAAGCTTCGGACGGCACGACCTCGGAGGAGGATGGCAACCCGCTCGTGCAGGATCGCGTGCTGAGGCGAAAGATCCACCATGCGAAGATGGCAGAATAACCAGGTATGAAGCACGCTTCGGTGCTAGAACGAAGCTCGGTAGGAGAACGAACCTGGGCGCAATATCGAAAGCTATATCGAGGCCTGGTGGACTACGTCGACGAGTGCAAGCTGAACACCGACAAAGTGCAGGACTTCGACGTGGCCATTGTCTCCTTCATGACCCACATGTACATGCTGGGCTACGACGCGGGCATCGGCCAGAAGTTGATCGCAACCGTGGTGTTCTTTCAACCTCGTTTCGGCAAGCTAGGCGACCTTTCTCTTCCGCGAACCTGGCGGGCT